TGATAGAGGCAGCAAGGGGGAGGAAGCAACAAGTCGAATAGTCATTCCCATCTCTAAATCATGCTGGAAGGGCATAACAAGAGAAGTTCCGCAAGTGTCTGTTTTAGGACCGGTTCTGTTCAATATCTTCATCAATGATTTAGATGATAGCATAGAGAGTATGATTATTAAGTCTGCAGATGATACCAAGCTGGGAGGGGTTGGAATTGCTTTGGAGGATACGGTCATAATTCAAAATGATCCCCTCATTAGGGATCAAATGAGGTCAAAATGAACCCCTTATGTTTGTCCTCACCCCAGACCAAACTAGAGAAATGGTCTGAGGTAAATAGGATGAAGTTTAAATAAGGACAAATGCAAAGTACTGCTCTTAGGAAGGAACACTCAGTTTCACACAAATAGAATGGGAAGTGACTGTCTAGGAAGAAGTACCGCTGAAAGGGATTAAGGGGTCATAGTGGACGACAAGTTAAACATGAGTCAACAGTGTGACACTGTTGCAAAAAAAGCAAACATGATTCTGGGATGCATTAACAGGAGTGTTGTAAGCAAGACACGAGAAGTCATTCTTCCGCTCTAGTCTGTGCTGTTTAGGCCTCAATTGTAGTATTGTGTCCAGTTCTGGGCACCACATTTCAAGAAAGATGTGGAGAAATTAGATAAGGTCCAGAGAAGAACAACAAAAATGATTAAAGGTATAGAAAACATGAGCTATGAAGGAAGACTGAAAGAATTGAGCTTGTTTAGTTTAGAAAAGAGTAGACTAAGAGGGGACATGATAGTGATTTTTACAAGGAGGAGGGAGACATTTTTCGAAAGAGGAGGCAAATTCTCTTTGTTCTCCTGGGCCTCTGAGAATAGGACAAGAATCAATGGGCTTAAACTGTAGCAAGAGAGGTTTAGATTGGATGTTAGGAAAAACTTCCTGTCAGGTGGTTAAACACTGGAATAAATTGCCTGGGGGGGGGTGTAGAATCTCCATTACTGGAGATATTTAAAAGCAGGTTAGACGGACACCTGTCAGGGATGATTTAGACAGTGCTTATTATTGCCGTGAGGGCAGGGGACTGGACTCGATGACCTCGAGGTCCCTTCCGGTTCTATGATTCTGTGAAAGAGCCTGAACCTCAGTGTACAGATTAAGAGTTAAAGGTTCTTTAAAGAAGGTAAAGCATGAAGGAAACGTTCTACTTCTCAACGCTACAATCTTAGAAGGCCTAGGGAAAAAAACAAAACACTTAATACAATTTTGATTTTGAGAAGAGTTGTGCTAATAGCACACTAAAAGAATAACCAAAAAAGCAATTTAGTGAAGAGGCAGCTTCTCAAATAACTACGAAGGGCAATGCTTATTGATCCTAATCTAGGTATGCACAGAAAATGCCTATTCATCTTGGAGTGCTTGTCCATTAATAAAAGAAGGAAAGAAAGAAGCAGGATGAGGCTTAATTTGACTACACAGGTTGGACTTCCCTGGTCCAGTATCATCAGGACCTGAGTAGTCCTGAATGAGGTATTTTGCTGGACCAGGGGAGCTCATTTCTGGCCCCTCTGCCACTGGGCCCCACCCCCCAGGCTTGGCCTGGCTCCGCCCTCCCGGTCCCACCTGGAAGCCCCACTGCAGGACAGCTATCTGGTAGCCTGCTGTCCTGTTGGCCCTCAGGGCTTCCAGCTCTCCACCGGGACACTCTGGTCCTGGAATGGAGGTTCCACTCATCTACAGAACAGGAGTCAATTATTTAAAGCTTCTTCACATAGAAGAGATACAAACATCTAAAATTGTAAAAACAATCTCTTTTCAACAAGGAAGCATCCAGAATTATCAACTGTGACAAATACAACTTGATAGAAGTTTGGCAAACAGCGCCTAGTAAAAGCCTTCTATATGCAATCTATTGGTCTCTAATGTTTTAGATCAGAAAACCTCACACTTTCCATAATTTGACTGACAATGAGATCCTCCAATCACTTTTAATTCCAATAGTCTTAACTCAAATATGTTAAATGAAAAACAAAAAGACAGAGTCATTACCTTGCGGTAAGAAGAAGCATATTTAATTTTTGAAAACTGCTTTAATGAAATACTGCGAGTGGAAGTCAATGCACAATAGGGATGTTAATGAGCAGTCGACTGAAGTATTGACTAATCGCATTGCCCCCCACTACCACCCACGGCCTCTATATCCGAGGCAGCAAGGGGGAGGAGCAAGAACCGGTGCTGGGGGAGACAGCTTAAAAGCTGGTTTCCCCCCAGCACGGTCTCTGAGGTGGCGCCTTCCCTCTCTCTCACACTGCTTCTATCAGAGGCAGCGGGGTGGGTGGGGAGGGGGAGCAAAGGAGAGGCTGGGGCAGAGCCACAGCGCGGGTGGCTCCTGGTGCTGGCACTACTCAGTTCTTGCTTGAGCTGGATCCTGGAGCTACCCCCACTGTGGCTCCACAGAGAGTTCCTAATCGACCAATTGCGTAGTCAATACAAATGGTATCAACTACATGATTAGCCAGATAACCACAATTTAACATCCTTACTGCACAAATCGGAAAACTGTAAGTTACAGTTCCCACTGTAACCAGAATCCCCATGGCCTGCCTGTATTTGTATTACGTTATGCTGCTCAGTATGTGACTTAGCTACGTACAGTGCAGCCTAACCACAAATGAATTTCCTGACAACAGCTGCTATGAGGCCATGCTGCATAAAACACAAATTTAAGAGCATACATTAATACAAGTACAGGGCAGCAGAATTCTGGTCACTGTGGGAACCGCTGCTTTGAATTTCCTGATTTGTGCAGTTTCACTCATCACACTGCATTAAAACACATTCTGAAAAGTAATTCTGAAAATTAAAAAAAATGACCCAAGTTATCTGCATTTTGATTTAAATTCTCCAACATGCCATATGGAAAAATGACTGTCTCTTAAAACATTTAATACTGTCTTATTCCCAAAAACAAAGGTAACGAGAGTGTGCATGGGTCTACAGCAAAAGGATGTAGTCCAAACTGCCAGCATGCATAAGAATGGACATACTAGGTCAGACCTAAGGTACATCTAGCCCAGTAACCTGTCTTTAGACAGTGGCCAATGCCAGTTACCCCAGAGGGAATGAACAGAACAGGAAACGATCAAGTGAACCATTCCCTGTCACCCTTCCCCACTTCTGAAAAATAGAAGCTAGGGGACACCATTCCTGCCTATCCTGGCTAATAGTTCTGGGTAAGTCCATTAACGGCTAACACTTTTTTTAACCTGTTAAAATCTTGGCCTTCACAACATCCTCTGGCAAGGAGTTTCACAGGTTGACTATGTGTTGTGTGAAGAAACACTTCATTTGTTTTAAACCTACTGCCTATTAATTTCATTTGGTGACCCCTTGTTCTTGTGTCATGGGAAGGAGTAAATAACTTCTTTATTCACTTTCTCTATACCACGCATGATTTTATAGACCTCTATCATATCCCCCCCTTAGTGGTTTCTTTTCCGAGCTGAAAAGCACCAGTCTTATTAATCTCTTCTCATATGGCAGCCATTCCATACCCCTAATCATTTTTGTTACTTTTTTTTATGTTTTGCTCCCAGCATTGGGAAGGGCAATACAGTGTTATACCTGCTTTTCTGAAAAGACAAATATTAATGCCAATTTCAAGGCCTGAACCCAATCTACCATATACTGTAATGCAGAAATACAGTACAGCCTGAAACCCCTATTACGGTAGGTGCTGCTGCATATACATTGCAAAAACTGGTCAGGAACTAACAAAAATCAAACTCTCCAAGCTCCAGAATAACAGTCACACAAGCTTACACTTTTATATTTGAAAGGTCCTAGATTCATAGAAACTGGCTGATCCCAATATATTACTTTTCCATCACCACAAAAAACTTTTTGAAGTTTTAAAAAGACGACTTTCCTGGCCTACAGACATGTTATTTAATGAGTTGCATGCTGTTCTGCAAAGTGAAATTCAGAATCTGATCTAGTCTCCCTCTTCTTAGTTGGGCATCACTCAAGAGCAATCCCTCTGATTGCATAAGGAGAAACTAACTGGCTCTTTACATACTTTGTCAGAAGTAAAGCAAAAAGCAGTGATCTTTGAAAGGTGTTTGGAATGAGGGAGAGGGGAAGATTGTTACTCAGAGCATCAACAGGAATTCCAAGAACCCCTCGGGAGAAGGGGAGGATTTAGCTCATTTTTTTTAAGTTACATTCCTAGTTCTTATGTTTGTAAATAAATTCAGATTTAGTGTTATCTTCCCAAACCTGCAGGGATGGCTCCACAGTCTACAGCTTTTCATAGCTTCACCAAAAAACAGTGTGAAGATAATAAAACTCTGGGCAGTCTCAGGGCAAATGTTAGGAATGTTATGAGCAGCAATGAATCATGAATCAAATCATTGTCATGCTCCTAATGCTACCTGGAAAAGCTATTAATAAAGACAATGAAAAGGAATGAAAACAACAAAGGTTGAGAAAGGGTAGAACTCGGATGTGAATGGTTAACTATAAGCATCACCCTTACTGGGGCACCCTTGCTACTCCCAGCCCCGTGGTACAGCCTCCTCCCTTCTAGCAGCTAGGGAAGAGATTCAGGTAAAGATGCTTTGGCCTGTCGTGGGTGGGGAGCACTCCAGCCCAGTTGGTACAGCCTCCTCCCTTCTAGCAGGGAGGGAAGAGATTCAGGTAAAGATGCTTTACTAGCCAAAACCTGATGCAAATGAGAGAGTTTCCCTCCTGCCAGCAGTAGCTAGGAACAACACACTTAACAGTTGCTGACAGCACAGAAGGACATTGTCTTCTCACTAGGCTTCCCTCCCACTCCAATGATCTCACCGGTGAGGGATCTACCTTTTTGTATTTAGCTCTAGCTAGTAGGTTTTGGGTACATTTTACAAGTCTGAACTGTTCTCCCCCCTCAGAGGAAGTTCCTCAAAGTCAGGATTGCACTGTAATAGAATGTGTGGGGAAAGTTTTTTTTTTACTGATATTGGTTATCCTGTACCTGTTCTGTGGACAAGTAGGACTTCAGTTTCCTGTGCTGTCAATCCGGCACCTTTCATGATCACTGAATTGAAAAACAAAACAAAACAAAAACAACCAGAGAGGTTAGTATATGCTACCATTAACGTTGTTATAAAGCAGCTGAAAAAGCCTGCTGTAATATTTCTCTGCAGTTTTGGTAGTTCCTGAGTTTCAACATGAGCCCCCAGTATGAGGAACAACCAAAAACACTGCATGGTGACTTCTTCTGGTTCTTGACAGGCAAAAGCAGTAGTTCTCAAAGTGTGGTCTGCAGACCACTAGTGGTTCACGGCTGCCTTGGGAAGGTCACCCCAAAATGGCATTGCTCTAACCGCCACCCTGTAGGTCAGGGACTGGCTGCTTGCTATCCTTGCAGGCCCAGGACACACACACTGTCTCCCAATGGCAGCCCACTACCACCAATGGCCCCTCCTTACCAGCTACAGCTCACACTGTAGCATAGCACCCTGCTCCCACCCGACCCGGCAAGATCTTGAAAGAGCAAGACGGGTGAGGGGCAGAGGAGGGAGAAGTGACACCCAAGATAGCAGCAGACTCAGGAAGTGTGTCATGGTAGTGACAGGACTTGCTGGCAGCCCTGTCCCACACACTGAACCCCTCATTTTTGTCCCCATCCCAAAGCCTAACAGGGTCCACAAAATCCATTAACTCTGAAACCCCAGAAAAGTAAACCTGAACTATGGGAAGCCCTGAACCTCAGTTCTCCCTGTCCCTTCTCCTCATCATGTGGGGCTGGAGTGCCACAGAAGAGTGAGATATCTCAGTTAGGAGCCACATCAGTGAAGGTTGAGGTTTTTTGGCTTCTCACTTGTGTGGTCCCCATCTGATTTTTCTGTGGGTCAGTGGCCCCCAACCAAGAAAAGGTTCCCCACCTCTGCCATAAATAAAGAAAACATTGAAACCTTTTGTGTTGAACATAAATTAATATTTTACTTTATTTTAAATGAAGTTTGATAAATTACATGAGAAAGTTAAAATGCTTAATCTGTTTAATCATTTAAAGTAAAAGTGTTTCTCAACCTTTTTTATAAAGTACTCTTTTTAATACACACACACACACACACACACACACACACACACACACACACACACACATTATATATAAAGTACCCCCAGTTGGGCAGTTTTCAGACACACAGATTTTTTTCAACCATTGCCATTCATTTGTTTAAACAACTTAATTGTAGCTGGGTGTGTGATGAAATTTTTGGGTGTAAAAAGTACAAAAATAATAAAGCACTGTAAAACTTACAACAAAAAAATAAATTCTCTCCAAATTTCAGTTTTGCTGACATATCCCCCCAGACTTCTCTCGAGTATCCCTAAGGGTACTCGTACCACTGGTTGAGAAACACTGAATTAAACCATTCTCCCTAGCTGCAACACTAGCAAAATAGCAGGGGCGTAACTATGTAATTAACAGTGAGTTTCCATTAGCAACTGGTGGTCCGGGGAAAGGCATGCATTGAGCCAGGTGAGCCATGGGCCAAAAAGTTTGAGAGCCACAAGAGAATTAACAAAATGTTGGCCTCCATAGTCATATTTTTTGCTTAATGATATAAACTTACAAAACTTGCTATGAGGAATTTTTTTTAGTTTACATTGTTTAATCAACCCAGCTTTTTGGATTTAAACATTCCTTTAGACTAGGGGTGGGGAACCTCAGGCCAGGGGGCTGGATGTGGCCTCCAGCTTGCCTGGATTCGCTCCCCCCCTCCCCCCCCCCAGCTTACCTGGATCCAGCTCCCAAAGCTCAGGGCTCCCTCCCAGCATTGGAGAACCAGCACTGGTGCTCCACCCCCCGGAGCCACCCTGCAAGAAACAAAATCTACTAGCCTGCTCCCCACCAGGCTCTGGTGTGCCAGGGTAACACAGGGAGTATCTTCCTCAGTCAGGAGCCATGTCAATGAGGGGGTCTTTGGGTTTTTTTTGCTTCTCACTTGTGTGCAGCCCTTGACTGATTTTTCTGTGCATTAGTGGCCCCTGACCCAAAAAAGGTTCCCCACTGCTGCTTTAGAGAATCATGAACCCAAATAACTGGACTGTGATGAGGACTCTAGACAGAAGTGAAGATGACTTCCATTTTGCTGTCCAAATTGAGCAAGATACAAAACTAAAATGAAAACCATAGAAAAGATTAAAATTCAGTTTTGTCTGTCATCTCAGAGGATAGCTATGTTAATTTATCTCTGCAAAAACAACAAGGAGTCCTATGGTACCTGAAAGAATAACAGATTTATTTGGGTGAAGTGGTTTTTACCCATGAAAGCTCATACTCAAATAAATCTGTCAGTCGTTAAGGTGCTATGTCTCTCTTCATGGTTTCTGTCTGTAGTGGTAGTAAGAGGGACAATGACTTGATTTAAATAAACATATTTTATGTTGACAGGGATGCTTTAAAAAAGGAAGCTGTACCCCCCACCTCCATAAACATACTTGTACATCTCAAGATGATTCATTACAGAAAGTAATTCCACTCACATACCTCCAGCTTTGGGCCATTTCTATTCCAGGTTGAGCCTCTGAAATCTGGGATTCTCTGGCCCGGCAGCATCTGTGGCCTACTAGGACCACAGATGTTGCTGGATCAGAGAGCCCCGGTACCCTAAGGAGCCCCGGTGCAGGAGCAGGGAAGAAGTGTGGCCACGGAGGCTGGGGAGCTAGCAGTGGGACCGGTGAGCAGCAAAATTGGGGCAGCCAGCCAGCCCCCCCCCGTTCCCAGGGAGCCCCGGCTGGTAGGGCAGCAGCAGGACAGGTGAGCCCCATCCCTGGTGGGGATCTCCAGTTGGGTGGGGGACAAACAGGGCCATGGAGGCTGGGGAGCTAGTAGTGGGACCAGTGAGTGGCAAAAGTGGGGCAGCTGGCAAGCCCTGCCCCTGGGGAGCCCCAGCAGCAGCGGGACAGGCAAGCCCTGTCCCAGGTGGGGGAAAAGTGGGGTCACAGAGGCTGAGGAGTTCCATCCTGGGGAGCTCCTGCAGGCTGGAGCCAAGCGGCAGTAGGGCTGGAGCAGAGCCAACTACAGGGAGGGGGAGCGTCCTAGAAGGCCATTAGCAGGGGACCTCCCAATAACCAGCTCATTTGGGACCAGTTAGGTCCCGAGGAAGCCGGACAAGGGAGGACATATCATTTGGGACACATGCTATCATTTAGCTAAGGGCTGTAGAACAGTCTCAGTCACTTCAAGGCTTCTCATGCTCAGTACTTTTACTGGCAAGCTGTGTTTTAAAATGTGAGCTCGGTTTATCCAGACCACAGGAGAACCCCATGTACATATCAGATAACCTACTCAGGGTCTGTCACAGAAACAGAATCACATAAGTTAGAAATAGAGAAAGATGTAGACCAATGAGTCAATCCCTATACAAACAATATGCACAGGCCCCTCAATGGAGGAAATATACTAGGATAACATTACACCTGACTAGGGATGTAAGTGACTAGTTGACTATCAGATAGTCGACTAGTCCCTCAACTAGTTACTTCCCCCCTCTCCTTGCTGCCTCTCAGAGAGAGGCAGCGAGGGGGGGGAGGAGTTGGTGCTGGGGGAAGTCAGCTTAAAAGTTGGTTCCCCCTAGCACCGTCTTCGTGGAGGGACAGGGGGTAGCAGGAACCAGGCACTGCACCTCTGCTTTTTAAATGTATTACATTTAAAAGGCTGGTGCACGGGACGGGACGGGACGGGACGGGACGGGGGGGAGAGAAGAGACCCACAACTCTTAATACATTTAAAAGGCTGGTGCGCAGCAGGGGGAACCTGATGCAAGCCAGGAATCAGCTGTCCCAGTATGAGCCAGGAATCAGCTATCTGGGCTCGTGCCAGGTCCTCCCGCCCCCCAATGCACTTCAGCCTTTAAACATATTAAGAGCCTGCCAGCTCTTAATACATTTAAAAGGCAGAGCCACAGCAGGGTTAGCTCCCAGGGTCAGGAGCTAATCCCACTCCAGCTCCCCTGCTTATCGACTAGTTAATAGAATTTAACATGCCTACACCTGACCTTTCTGGAAAAAAGGGGGGGGGGGATTTTGGTATAATTTGGTAGAGTGGCAGGCAGCTGAGAAGTTATATTTAAATAATTTCAAAAGATGTGTTTTTGAAAAATTATGCACACAAGCTTAATTTTGCATGGGGAGGTGAGAGGAGCTATTTCTTAGTACTTACAGAGCATTAGAAATTATGCAGGTTAGCGAGTGTTGTATTTCAATTTTCCATGTAACTGACTTAGAAATAGCATTCCTTCTTCCAGTGAGTCTCATTAATCCTTTAGTTTATGCCAGTTTTGTCTACCACTCTCAGGATGGACAGTGAGGGAAAATATCCATTTGCATGCAGGAACAAAGGCAAGATTATACAAAGTAATAACTGCTGACCATTCCCAACAGAAACAAACAAGAAGTCTGGAGAGTAAGAGAAAAACAGTTGCAAGTTCAAAGTTGGCAACTTAGTACTATATTTCTTTTGCAACAAACTATCCAAAGATGTTGGGCTTGTTTAGTTTGGAAAAAAGAAGATTAAGGGGGGACATGATAGCGGTTTTCAAATATCTAAAAGGGTGTCACAAGGAGGAAGGAGAAAATTTGTTCCTCTTGGTTTCTGAGGACAGGTCAAGGAGTAATGGGCTTAAAGTGCAGCAGGGGAGGTTTAGATTGGACATTAGGAAAAAATTCCTAACTGTCAGGGTGGTCAAATATTGGAATAAATTGCCAAGGGAGGTGGTGGAATCTCCCTCTCTGGAGATATTTAAGAACAGGTTAGATAGACATCTGTCAGGGATGGTGTAGACAGAGCTTGGTCCTGCCTTGAGGGCGGGGGGCTGGACTCGATGACCTCTTGAGGTCCCTTCCAGTCCTATGATTCTATGTTCACATAACCAATGTTAATAGCCTGGGTAGAGCATAGACACTTTGCCCTCTCTTCAGCAACAAGTTTAATTCAGTTTTCAGCAGTCATGGTTGGACAGTCAAAGTGATAGTTTGCAGTCTATTTATAAATAAGCAGTATTATGGTCAGAGCCCTTCAATAAC